GAAGAATAGCAATGAATTAGTTGAGATATTCCCAGATCATTGGTTCGCTCATGTATCTTGCTAGTGCTACAAGGCCTGTCATCTCATTTGCTGTGTGCAAGCTGAGCCGGTTTGTGTCAAATCTGAGAGATGACCACTAGCGTGCTCTTGAGAGAGTGATGCGCTATCTAAAAGGCACCATGAGCTACGGTATTCATTATACCGGACATCCAAAAGTGTTGGAAGGCTATTGTGATGTCAACTGGATCTCTGATGCTGATGAGCTTTATGTCACAAGTGGATATGTGTTTTCGCTTGGAGGTGGCGCTGTTTCCTGGAAGTCTTGCAAGCAGACTATCTTAACGAAGTCTACAATGAAAACATAACTCTCAACATTAGACACTGTTGGCTCTGAGGCCGAGTGGCTTCGTGATCTCCTTATAGATTTACCGGTTGTTGAAAACCCATACCGACTATTTCTATGAACTGCGATAACCAGACTATGATTATGAAGGTTAACAGTTCTAAGGATAACATGAAGTGCACAAGGCATGTTAAAAGACGATTAAAATCTGTCAGAAAATTAAGAAACTCCGGAGTAATAGCGTTGGACTATGTTCACACGTCTAACAATCTGGCAGATCAGTTCACTAAGGGTCTGTCACGCAATGTGATAGAAAGTGCATCGAGAGAGATGGGTTTGAGACCCACTTGAAATTTACTATAGTGGTAACCTGTTCTATGTGATCGGAGATCCCGTGAAGTAGAATGATGAAACAAACTAGTAGTAAATTATGAGGAAAGATCCTTAGCAAGACTTATTTTTGATGCACATCTTTCCTATCTGTAAGGCAGGTTGGCTTTTACCTTAATGTGTTCTAAATGGCTTGCTAAAGCAATGATGTTGTCCTACAGAATATCTTTTGAGGAGCACACATATATGAGTCAGGCTGTTGATCACAGTCTATGAGATTTTGGTGATCTCTAAATACTCATGAAAGGCACTGAAGTATGACTTATATGCTTCAAATAGAGGGAATATCTTTTACAGCCAAGTATCAGCTAAGGACTTTAGTTACATTCACCTAACATAAAACTGGCAATTTAAGACCTAGTTCATTGTTCAGTTGTGACTGAGTGAAACTATTGCTCTAGATGGATGTTCAACTTATAAGTCTCCATCGAAACACTGGTATATAAAAGAAATGTGGTTCTAAGACTACTTTGTTACAAACCCTAGAGTCTGGTGGGAATTGTTGGATATAATATGGGCTTGGCCCATATAATATTTAATAAATCAAATAAAACTCTATGGTACGTAACATTAAGCGTTGTACGGTTTAAACCATACGGGATTTTGACTGAACGTTGACTCAGCTTATATGGTTGAAAATTATTCATCTAAATTGAGAAGCTGAGAAAAGGATAAAGGCGTGCCACACGCTCGCGCCGCCGCCGCCGCCGGTCGGGTCGGGCCGTGGGCGCGGGCGCGGGCCAAGCCGTGGCGAGGCGGGCGGCGAGCGGGCGGGCGTGGCCAGTCTTTTGCCACTTAATCCACATAATCACGGGAGTTACTCCCTTTGATGGTTGAGGCGAACTGATTGCGTCAGTTATCGTCCTTTCCGCTTCCGTTTCTCCGTCTCTTGGTATTCTCCGCTGCCTCTCTCCCTTCCCGTCGCAAATATATATCCGCAGTCCTCCGTCAGTACAGATCTCCGTCTTCCAAAACCGCTTCCGAGAGAAACCATATCTCAGCAGCCTTCTGGCTTTCCCGTCCCGTACCTCTGCGTGTACGGAGCAGCGGGAGAACAGGTACCACCGGAACCCTCGCCCGCTTGAGAACCTTGCACGGGGTGTGCGACGATTAGGGTTTTGGGGAGCGATTCGCGACTGCTCATACGTCTTTTTTCTGGTGGTGATCGCTCTTGGAACCCATTTTCTTCCCGGTGATTGCCTGCGGAATAGCAAGACGTCTTCTTCTTGGTGATCTGTTCGTGGGACTGCACTGCGAATATCGTCCTGCATCGACTGTGGTCCGCGACTTTGAGCAACGCACTATGTCGACTAGTACGAAGGAGCCTCTAATGCCCTCAGCATGGGACCCTCCGTTGGGTACATTCTAATCTTTCTGATTACTGTAATATGCGTTTTTACTGTATTTATCTATATGTCATCTTTACATGCTGTAGCGTTCATTAGAGATATATACATGCATATATATGCCGTCACAAATCTACTGATATTATTTTTCTAGATTAAACTGATAATAAAAATGCCTAAACTTCTAACAGTTCCCAGCCATGGACTGGTGCGACGGCTGCGTCCGCGTGTTCATGCTGGGCTTCCTCAACTCGTTCTTCCTGGGCAGAACGGGGACTATATATCTTCTACGTGCTCGCGCGAGATCACTCCCGCAGCACGACCGGCACCGTCGTGGTCTCCGTCTTCCTCGTCTTCTGGGTGAGCATCGGCGCCTTCTTCTGCTGCGTCTCCTGTGGTGCCTTGGTCCCGTGGGCTGCGCTTGGCAAGGCGCTCCTCTGCTGCGTCCGTCGCATCGGCTGGCTGCGGCGCCCCAGCGGCGGCGGAGGCGGCAGCACCTTGCCTGCAGCGACGGCGGACATCCCGGCGTACGAGCTGCGGGACGCCGGGCAGGCAGATGGCGCGTCTGATTGCGCGGTGTGTCTTGGCGAGATGGAGACGAGCGACATGGTGAAGCGGCTGCCGGTGTGCCTCCACGTGTTCCACCAGCAATGCGTCGACAAATGGTTGAGCAACAACTCGACGTGCCCGGTGTGCAGGTGCGACGTTTTCGCGCCGCTGCCGGCGCAAATGGTGTGACCTTTAGCTTAATATGTTTCCCAGTTCTCTTTTCATGATGCGGCTGAGAACACATGTACAGCTGTAAATTGGTGACTTGTGTGAATCTCAGCCTTTGCCTGGTGCCCTCGTTTCACGACTCGGCTGAGAAAACGGAAAACTAAGATCTTAACATGTAACTGTAAGTATGTGAATGTCGGCAATTGATGATCAAATTCACAAGCCTGTATATATATATATTGGCCAGTCTGACTGGCTCAGTAGGATTTTATAAAAGTTTATTATAAATGTCGGCAATCCGATCTGCATGTGTGGCGCATTCTCTCCAAAAGTAGAAGTTGCGCTCCTTCTTCCTCCCACCAACAACCCCATCGGCATTGCATTTCACAATTAAATTTTTTTTGAAGGGTATACAATAAATGCGCATGGCGCGGGACAGGGGCATGAGCGAGTCTCCGTGTGTGTTTGTGTGTGGGTCTCTCTTCTGTTTTTTCAGACAATGGAAAGAAGAGTCCGGCTTTATCCCTTTGAGGACTAACGACCAAATTATGAATCAAACGTCTCTTGGTAAACATTTTTTTTATAAAAAACCGACTCAAGACCTAATCTTACTATTACTAATTAAAGGCACTATAGGACCTGATTCTCACCAGACGTGGGGAACCGGGTACAGAGATAGACTCAAAAAAAAATAAATCCTAGAAACTCTTAAAACAATAAGAAACATCTAACCTTTAATTTGATAGACTTTTGTCGTCATTGTTGATAATGGGCATTGGATCTGTTATAATTCATAAAAAAATACATTTGCTATTATGAAGAATACATAAAGTAACCTTTCAATCTTGCCTCCAAATTATCCACATACCACTATGAAAGATAATTCCAAATTATAAGTCGCTTTGACTTTTTTGATTCATTCATTTTGTTATGTCTAGACATATTATTATACTCCTTCATCTCTGAAAAGATCAATTTCTAGCCCAAAAATTTGTCTCCAAAATAATCGATTTCTAGAGGTGAATGGTGCACAGATCCACATTAATCTCTCTCGTAGTCCTGGTCGCATTAACACAACCTCTCTCTCCCGCGCTGCTATTGGATACTCCAAACGACACTATTTAATTAGGCTTCTCAGTAAATAGAAAGGTATTAAGGTTCAGCGGTTTAATGAGGGGCAGCATGGTATTTTATTTTCGTTGCTAATCTGTCCTAAAGTTGCTAGGAATTTATTCTTTCAGGGACAGAGAGAGTATCTAGATGCATATCAAAATAGATGTACAAAAAAAGTCAAAGCGACTTATAATTTGGAACGGAGGAAGTACGTACGTGTTATTGTTGCAAGACTATATTTGGTTTGAGAAACCATCCATCCTAAATTATATAGTGTGCATCGTGAATTCATCCAATAAAATTTGATGAATGTCTTAATTCAAAACAACTATACTAATTATTAGCTTGTAAAGGACAATGCGGTAGCAATCAACATATTTCAATCTACAAACAAAAAAGTAAAAAAAAAAGACATATATATAGATATGTTAGCTTAATCTTTTGGCTGTACTTATAGGATTGGTTTACATGTGTGTATTTATAGGGACAAGTGAATACGTGTGCATTTGTGGATGTCTGTGTGTATTTATCCAAACAAAAAAATAAAAAGCGAGAAAACGTCCAGTTTCTCAGATCAAACACACCGATCATATAATGATTCTATTCTATAGACGGTAACAGCGGCAATTCTCGAACTACAAATCGCGATCCGAGTAAACCATAGAAAATACCGTCGGCCGGCGCTAGACACGAAATCAATGGGCCCAGTTAGAATATAATACGGCGTGTAGAATGTTTCTGGTTCTGTGATGGTTCCTTCCTCTCAAGTCTACGGTTTCGTTCTCAACTATCGAAAATTCTTGCCCGACGACTTTCGACTTGTGAGTTGTGAGTTATCACATGTGAAAGCCCAGAAGTACCACGCGGCTTCGATCATCATCATCTCTCCGTGTTGCCATTCCGCGGGCACAAACTAGCAATAACCTCGTAAATTCCCGATGAACTTCTGTGCTGTTTACTAATCCAGTCATCTTATCATACCATGCGCCCTCCGATCCATCGGCGAATTGAAGTTGCGGCTGCCGCGCGCGCAAGCTGTGAATCATCTAGCTCGATTGGCCAGAGGCAAGTCGATCGATCTCGCGGTCGCCATGGACTGCTGCCTCCGCGTGTACGGGCTGGCCATCGCCAACATGGTGTGCGTCGGCGGCACGGGCTTCCTCGTCTACGCGCTCGTGAAGCTCGCGAGGACGCCGCACAGCACGGGCGGCATCGTCGTCGTGTCCATCTTCCTCGTCTTCTGGCTGGGCGTCGGCGCCAGCATCTACCCGGCCTTCTGCGGCTCGCTCTTCCCGTGGTCCGCGCTGGGGCGGTGCCTGGAGCCGCCGCTCAGCGCGGTCCTCTGGCTGCTCTGCTTGCCCTGCAGGTGCGCGCGCGCCGCGCGGCGTCGCCTGATGCGCGGTGGCGGCGGCAACGACGACCAGGGCGCCTTGCCGCAGTGTCACCAAGGCTACAGCATCGGCGTGCTTCCGCGGGAGCCACCAGTTGGTAGCAGCAGAGCGCGGCGGGTGGCTGCCACAGCCACAGCTGCCGACATCCCGGCGTACGAGCAGCCGGACGGCGAGCTGCCTGACGGTGACGGCTCGCCGGACTGCGCGGTGTGCCTTGGCGCAGTGGAGAAGGGGGAGATGGTCAAGCGGCTGCCGGTGTGCCTGCACAAGTTCCATCAGGAGTGCATCGACCTGTGGCTACGCAACCATTCCACATGTCCAGTCTGCCGGTGCAACGTATTCGCACCGCTGCCGGACCAATTAGTGTGAACTTTTTTTTTGAGATGACCAATTAGTGTGAAGTTGTTCTGTATAGTATAGGCACCCATATGTAAAGAAAAGGTGTATATAAAAGAAGAATTGATTATACATTTCTTTCCAAGACAGCATAGGATCCTCAGTGTTGCTCTGCTGTGTATCGAACTCCATGTGTGTTTTCATCGATTTGTACAATTGTACCCGTCGACGTGTTAGTATTTTAGATGGTTCTCTGATATAGATGGAAATTTTTTTGTGTCCAAGGTTATCCTCCCTTAATGAACAACTGCCCATAAGTCAATTTGGCACCGGTCGCGTCGTTACTTCCATGTACATGAAAATAAATCTTTGATTAGAAATACTTTATCATCACATATATTTGACTTTGCACAGTGTTCGGATCAAATATTTGACCATTATTTTCTTTCAAAACAAATCCTTTTGAATTTATAAGATTTTTACTTTAATATTCTTGAATCCAAATCATCACATATAATTTACAAGTTTGTAAATTAAATAATTTTGAAGCCATTGATATATAGTTTATAGCGGCATTTAAGGTTTGGTCACTACTATGAAAACACTTACAAATCAGTCATTGATAAGTTTATTATAACTATATAGAGACTATATAGTATCTATTATTATGCCTATGTCTTATTGTGTTTGAAAATGAATAGAAAGAAAATATGTACAATTTATGTAAGTACTTTTTATTGGTCAGAGGTATCAAAGAGCAATTAATAATGTTGATGTCTCATAAAATTCTAGCTTGTGTTAGAACAAGGAACTGGTGTATTAGAAAAGAAAAACAATAATACTCCCCCAAGTTAATAAAAATATTTGTTACATTTGATTTTGCTCAATCCTGGAATCGTATTGTTTCAGTTACTTTCTTGTGGAATGTATATCTTAATATCCTTTAAACTTATGATATTTTGCATGTATTTTGAATATAAATCTACACACATAACTTATATTTTAAAAATACTGATGTTGTAGTTTTACAAGTTTGATTACCGAGTGTTGTTGTAAATGACATGTTTTTATGATATGAGGGAATAATTCCAACAAGAACATGCATGTGAGATTTTTTTGTTGTTGCAAAAGACAGTATAGACACAAACACTCATGTATGCATGCATGCACACTCAACGCGCACATACCCTATATGACCTACCTCTGAAATACAAGTCACAACATGCACCTCGCAATACCCCTATAAGCACCTTCGAAAAATTTAGTCATCCTCTCAAAAAAGCAAATATTTAGTCATCAAAAGCGCACATCACTGTCGATAGTCACGTCATCTACCAATGAAAGAATAATGTCATTAAAGCTGTTAAATCTTAAATAAATTCAAGGAGAGATTGACAAAGTGCATAGCAATAAAAGAATAACACCATTAAATTCTATAATAAATCCAGAAAAATAGGAGCACCAAGTCAAATTAAAGATTTGAACCAGGATTAACAAGCCACAACCGAACCAGGTGAGCTACACTATTAGTGAGAATTATTATTATTGGCAAAAGTACAAAAAGCTTTCGACTAGGACATCTCTTGTACCCATTTCGCGGGCGAAGACACCAATGAAATTCGATCATCTTTAATCCTGTCACTCCAGCACTCGGTGTGTGTATCAAGGGGAGCAGGTAATTGATAAGCATTCCGGGCACCTAAGGTCAGCCGCTGCAAGGTGAGCCAACGCGCGCGTGCCGCAGACATGGCGTGCTTCGGCTGCTCCTGCTGCACCTGCCGCGTGATGATACTGGTTTTCATCAACACGGTGGGCATCGGCGGCACTGCCTTCGTCGCCTACACGCTCGTCAGGGGCATGAAGGCACCCCACGTCATCATCATGCTCCTTGTCTGCGTCAACGCCAGCATCTACCCCGTCTTCTGCGTCGCATTCTTCCCGTGGTCCAGTCTAGGGCGTTGCCTGCGTGGCGTGGGTGTGCTGCTCTGCCTGCCGTGCGGCGCATACCCCGGGCGTGGAGCGCCGCCGGCGACGACGGCGATAGTGGCTTTGATTTGCCGGAGATTGTGGTGCAGAGACAGGGCCAGGTCAGGAACGTGTTTCGTAGGGAGGCGCCGCCGCTTCCTGGCGGACCTGGTAGAGTTGTTGCTGCCGGCGACATACCTCCGTACGCGTACGAGCAGCAGGCCGGCGCGGTGCCGGACGGCACGTCGGCAGAGTGCCCGGTGTGCCTAGGAGGGATCGAGAAGGGATCGTCCTTTTCTCCAAGGGGAAAGACTGAAAACTTGAATTGCAGGGTTTTGCTAACTGTGCATTTAGTGATATTTGAGGGTGAATTGTTCTTTCTTTTATTTCAGATGCCCATAGCACAGATTATATACAGTCTCGGTTTGTCGTAGCTTCTTCTTCTTTGTAACTTGTTTCAACTTGTTTCAAGTCAAACGGGTATTTTGCAAACAGCTTCACAGAGGAAGCTCTTTAAACCTACTCTCACTTGGAAATTACGGGAGGAGAGGACAAAGACGAAAAAGTAGTTTTTCTAGTTTCATCACCGTACCCCGGCTTGTGTGGAAGGCGGATTTGCCCCTGTGCAGGGGTGCACGTGGGCGTGGCCATTAGGGTCGTGGGCGTGGCCAGGGGCACGAGCGCCGCCGCGGCCTAGAGCACCGAATTTTTTATTTTTTAGTCTTTTTTTTAAGTTTCTTACAAATAGCCGGAAGAAATATTTTAGAATTTGAACCTAACACGTCTCGGCGTTAGCGTCTCTGGTGCCGAGCTCTTAGACTCGACACTAACGTAACACTGATTGGACAGGTAGCTCGGAACCGTAGAAGCTGACGCCAAGCTCAGCGTGATAGACGTCGGCGCCGAGCTTAGCGCCCTGACTTTCCATGTGTTGTCAGAATGTCAGCTACGAAACACGTAGGCTCCATATGCGACGTGCGTCAGTGCGTGTGGCCACTACTACTAGCACGCAAATTGTTTGTTCATTGGGGCCTTGTTTAGATGGTAAGTTTTTTCACTCTCTCTTTATCACATCAAATCTTTGAACACATGCATGGAGTATTAAATATAGATAAAAAAATAACTAATTACATAGTTTGATTGTAAATTACGAGACGAATCTTTTGAGTCTAGTTAGGCCATGATTGGACAATAATTGTCAAATACAAACGAAAGTGGTACAGTGCCAAATACTGATTCCTAACCCCAATCTAAACGAGGCCTGAAATGTACATAGCAGAAGTAAATTTGTATACATTTTCTAGGAGACGCAATAAACACGCAACGCAATAATCACGCAATCGTTTGTTCATTGCAATAAGCACGCGAATCTGTTCAATTCAATGTGGCACTTCAATTCTCCAACCTCCTCTTTGTTGGGTTGTTGGCGCATTCACTTGTGCCCCCGCGCTCGCTCGTCGATCGCCGCTACCACGCATGCACCTAGGCTGGCTACCTCAGGCCTGCTCCTCTATGTAAAGGCACTGTGGCTGCTTCAATTCGGCGTCGCTGTCCCTCCATCCATCCGGCCTATATGTACTCATGAACGTCAGTCACACGTACCACCCACCGTGCTTTGCATGCTCCCCGGCCATCTCCTCCTCGCTCTTACATCATGTTTGGTTCTTCTGAGGGCCTGTTCGGAAAAAAAAAAAAGAGGAAAAGAAGAAAACGTAGAAATATGATATAGATGTGGTGTGTGAAAACAGAGAAATGAAAAAACACACGAAACATATAGATAGCGGTGTTTGGAACATAGGAATTATAACATAAGATTCTCAAAACATGAGGTATGATTAAAAGAGATGAATACCTGTTTTATTATTAAAATATTTGTCATTACAACATCAAATTTTAATTAACAAATAAATATATGTGTAAAGTTTTTTTTGCAAGGAGTAAAGAAAAATAGTAACAATTTAATATAATTAATAGACATGTGATTGTTCCACGGCGGGAGCAAGACAGGAATAAACAAGCACGGACAGCAGCCGTGATTAGCAAGATAGGACTAAAACAGAATAGTAATGTGTAGCAGAGATTAATTTGCTAACATATAGTTTAACAACATTTATGTGATTACAAATCAAATTTATCATTTTAATTGTTTCTGGCACGTAGGATCTGTTGTTGGTCAAAAGATGAAAAACTCTATGGTGTCTCACATAAAAATATTTAACTCTTCACTGTTATTTGTTCTTATCCAAACCTTCTCTTCTTTTAACGTTATCCGTTCAGAGCGCGCGGGCGCAGCGCAGAGCACGGCCGCACGTACACGGTACAGGTCACCTCAGGCATCACGTCTCGGCTCCGCGCTTGGCACCCCGTGTGTCCACATGTCCCTCACGCACCACGCACGGGGCACCGGGCAGCACAGCTGTGCCACGGCACTTCATATAGCACTATACTATATATATAGCAGGCTATGTGCCCGACGACTTTGCTGCGTTTACTGCTATCCAAGTCTCTGCTAGCAGCACTGTGTAGCTAGCACATGGTGACGTGCTGGGCGAGCCGTGCAACGCGTGCACGCAGGCACAGGCAGCGACGCGCTCACCCCACGCTCGGCGCCGTACATCCTGACGCCGAGCTCGGCGCCGACGTGCGCCATAATCCAAGAGCTCGGCGCCAAGCTGAGAGTACAGATTTTAAAATCTTTCCTCAAAAAATCTATTTATGAGAAACTTTTTTTTAAAAAAAAGGAGCTAAAGAGTAAAAAATTCGGCCCGTCGGGGGCGTGGGCATGGGCCAGAGGCGTGAGCACCGTCGCGGCCTCGAGCGCGCGGCTATCGGGTGTGTGTCGTAGCCGGGAGGCGCGGAGCCGCGGATGCGAGGGCGCGAGCGTGGCCTCCAGCACCAGGGCGCAACTGCTTTGGCTCATGGGCGACAGGGTGGAGGGCCGCTGGGCTTCTGGTGCACGGTCGTCGGGTGCATGCGCAAGAACATCGGGAAGAAAAAGAACCGTGGGGATGGACATGAGGAATAAAGTAGATAATAATAAGAAAAGCAAAGGTATTATAGTTATTTTA